TTGCATGCCTGAGGCCCTGGGTTCGATTCCTCAGCACCACATAAGCAAAAAGAAAAAAGCCGGAAGTGGTGCTGTGGCTCAAGTGGTAGAGCACTACCCTTGAGCTGAAGAGGTGAGGGACAGCGCCCAGGCCCAACGTTCAGGCCCCACAACCGGACCTCCCCCCCCAAAAAAAAAGAAAAGAAAAGAAACCATAGCAAGAAAGAAAAATCATTTGGGTCCTTATCTTGGGTTTCATTTCATTTAACATCAACTTATCTGACCATTTCTGCTTGTGTCAGACATACTAGTTATTGCAAATAAGGGAAACCATGGGACCTATGTTTCTTTAGGCCTGTCTTAGACAAACAATTGAAATTCATTAAACATAAACCCTACTGCATTGACTTTTACTGAAAGGTTTTTAGTAGAAGTTATAGAACCAGTACCTGCTACAGCACAGTTGACAGCAGCAGCCATATCCATACCAACCATAACTACAAAACTACAGCCAGAGCCCAGGCCACTGTAGATGCACCCAGACCTCCACAGAAGTTGCTACAGGTGCATATGGTTCAGAACTGGGTTCAGTGTTTATTGAGAAGCAAGGAATTGATTTTCTTCAGTGTGAACAGCCCCATCTGCCCATATACTTTTATATATATCCTTAGTGATACTTGGGACACATCACAAGACCCATGCATCATGTATTTCCTACTCTTTTGAATCACTACTATATTTCCTTAATTCTTGTTTCACTAAACAATATGTCACTATTTTTTTTTGTCGGTCATGTTCCCTGACCTCTGGGCCTGGGTGCTGTCCCTCAGCTCTTCAGTTCAAGGCTAGCACTCTACCACTTGAACCACAATACCACTTCCGGCTTTTTCTGCTTATGTGGTGCTGAGGAATCGAACCCAGAACCTCATGCATGCAAGACAAGCACTCTGCCACTGAGCCACCTTCCCAGCCCCAATATGTCACTATTTTAAGCAAGACTTCTTTGCTCTCAAACCAGCATTCCTTTGGCTAAAATCACGTATCTCAAATGTATTTTTCTTATTCAGATGTGGAACTCTGACTCATTCTTTGTTTATCTGAAAATGAATGCCCAGGTTTTTAAAATCTAGTTTAATAACTCTGTGTGTGAAAATGTTGATTTTAAAAATTATGTCTTTATTTCTCTATATGGTAGGTAGAGATCTTCTCCAAAGAGAAAATTGACTTTTCTCAAGTCAAAAAAGCTTTTCTTGGTTATTATTCAATAAGTAAGTTTTCATACATGCATAAAATATATTAAATTGAAGCTTTATGAACACATCCCTGTGTTAGCATCCTGCTAACAGTTTCTGTCTCCATGTATACCACCAGTTGTTTCTGTTTTTTAAAAAAAAAAACAAATCCTAGATGAGGTAAAATTTTCACAAAAGTAATTCATCCTTATTGTATAAGAAGCACACACCCTCCAATACCTCTAGCACATCAATGAAATTTTAAAAAATCTTGTCACTCTCTATATTTAATTCATATTCAATTTTTCTGAATTTTCTCACAAATATATTTTATGGTAACTTTTGTAATATTATAACCATATTATACCTAAACATACCTAAGTTTTATAATGAAATTTCTTCTTCTTCTTCTTCTTCTTCTTCTTCTTCTTCTTCTTCTTCCTTCTTCTTCCTTCTTCTTCTTCTTCTTCTTCTTCTTCTTCTTCTTCTTCTTCTTCTTCTTCTTCTTCTTCTTCTTCTTCTTCTTCTTCT